CTTCATACCCTCCTCCTCTATCTCCTACCCCCCTTCCTCCTCTTCCTTCATAATCAGAGTCAGTCGGGAGAATGGGAGACATAGTGTGTAAGCATCTTCCCGTGGCCACTTAAGTATTGAGAAGTGAGGTGTAAGTGGATGCTGCTGGCGGAGTTTGATAGTCTATGCTTCTTCTCGTCAAGTGGGAGAGAGAGAGAGAGAGAGAGAGAGAAAAAAAACAAATGGAAAGAGAGAAAGCGTATTGAGTGTGAGTGAGTGAGAAATACCGTTTAAATCGATAACGCAGACACACGCATGCAATATACGGAAGCACGCGCATGGACGCACATATGGAGTGACTTACAAAAGACATATACAATCTACGGGGGACACGTAAACAGAGACAGACGGAGAGTTATTTGCCCACAAGTACCAAATTACGTCACTCTCCTCCGACAAGTTCAGCCGAGTGAGTCACAATATTTCCGGACACAAACGATGACTTAACCAGAGCCGAGCAACAGATTATGTAAATTCTTCTGGCATAAGTAAACATGGAAAGCCAGACGGGCAGGAAACAGGCATTCGAAGTTACAGTCTTATGGTGGAAGTTTTGAAGTTTGTTGTGATATCGTGTACTGATGTGTGTGTGTGTGGTAGGGGGGAGAGAGGTAAGGAGGGAGGGAGAGAAATAGGGAGGGAAGTAAGAAGAGAGGTAAGGGTGGAGGGAGGGAGAGAGGGAGGTAAGAAAGGAGGAAGGGAGGGAGGTAAGAAGGGAGGGAGGGAGGTAAGAGAGAAGAGAAGTAGGTAAGGAATAAGGGAGGGAGGTAGGAAGGGAGGAAGAGAAGAAAGAAGGTAAGGAAGGAGGGAGGGAGCTACACTGAAGTATTGGCTCGTGTTATGATATGAATTTCGCCCTGATACTATCTACAGGGAATGTACTGGTGTATCTGTGTATGGAGAGATGAAGGCAGAGAAGGGGGTATAGATTAAAGAGAGAGAGAGAGAGAGAGAGAGAGAAAGAGAGAGAGAATATGAAAGGTAAGCAAATCTGTTGTCATTTCCACCCTCATAAAATAATGTACCTTGATAATCTCATTCATCTCTTACTAATAGTTACAAAAATAACGTCTTTACTTACACGTTGAGTAAATGAGAATAGATTGGTATATATCAACTTCTGGTTTCTCTTCATTAACATTAACATGTCGTCTGCTGCTACTTTAAACATAAAAACTAAAGTGGTGTTGTGTGTTAAAGTGTGGTGTTATGGGTGTAGTGTGGTGTTGTGTGATGTTATGGGATATAATTGTAGTTTCTATGTGGTGTAGTATAGTGTTTAGATGTTCTTTAATCGTATCTTTGTACCAATCCTCCAGCACCAGAGGAAACACACCTTATCTTGCGTAAATCTTCTCCCCTTGACACAAACTCCACGGCATCTATTTTTTTTTTAACTGCATCTCTTTCCCTTCGCCAACCAGGAAATGGCTCCTGTCACTGGGATCAGGAACTAGGGGAGGAGGAAGGTAGGACAAGAGAAGGGGGTAAAAGAATGTTTTTTTTTTGTGAATAGGGAAAAAAAGTAATTCAGAATCTCATGATTATAGAATGTGACGGAGAGGTAATGAACTAAGTCGTGTGTGTGTGTGTGTGTGTGTGTGTGTGTGTGTGTGTGTGTGTGCGTGCGTGTGTGTGTGTGTGTGTGTGTGTGTGTGTGTGTGTGTGTGTGTGTGTGTGTGTGTGTGTGTGTGTGCGTGCGTGAGAGATAGAGATATACAGAGCTACTGGTCTCTAAAGAAAACTATAATTCAAAGAGATAGTCGGCAAGAAAATTCCAATAACGTTACACCCAACCCAAGACAACCTTACCATCACCATCCAGCGAGTGAGACCCAGGCCCAAACTGTGTAGTGAATTCTGTTCTCTTGGACACGCCTTCTCCCCCTTTATCCGACTCCTTCGGCTTCATCTATCCTTCATAGCTTCATCCTTACGCTGTCTTTGAAGGATGGACACCCAATTCATGGTAAGCCACACAGTCTTGGGGTCGATATTTCCTCCTTTTCTTCCCCTTTTCCTCACTCATCTCGTCTTCCTACAAATCTTCGTTCGCCTCCCCATCCCACCTTCCACACCCATATAATCCTCGCCAATCATAAGCTCATCCTCAGTCCTTTACACGAGGAAATACGGTCGAAGCCTCCAGGCTCTCTCTCTCTCTCTCTCTCTCTCTCTCTCTCTCCACCACTTGCCTTCTACCTAGGATACTCAACATCATCTTTCTCTTGCATTAAAACTCCACCAGCTCCATAATCACTAGCATCTACATACAATTTAAACGGTTTATCATAATTTACAGTAAAAAGTATGGGTGCACTTATAAGTATCTGTTTCAATTTTTTAAACGCGTCATCACAATGAACACTCCACACAAATTTGACTTTCTTTGGCAACAGATTGGTTAATGGTAAAGCAATGGTTGAAAAGTTTTTACAAAACCTACGATAATATCCACTCATACCCAGAAATCTTAATAATTCTCTTCTATTTGTAGGTGCAAGAAATTTCACAGTACTTTCCACCTTAGCATTAATTGGTTTGACACTTCCCTGACCAACAATATAACCTAGATATTCTACAGCAAATTCACTCTTCACAAGGTTTACAGTCAAGTTTGCTTGATTCAATTTGTTAAATACTTCTCTAATTAAATACAAATGTTCTTCCCAAGTTTTTTAATACAGTACAATATCATCTATACACACAGAACAACCTTTAACATCATACAATACTTGATTAACTAATCTCTGGAAAGTACTACCGCTGTTTTCATACCAAAGGGTAACACTTTATGCTGATATAAATCTTCCATAGTCACAAATGAAGACATTTCTTTTGCTCTTTCAGTCAGTGGTACTTCCCAATATCCTTTCAACAAATCCATCTTAGTTACAAATTTAGCATCTCCTATTTGGTCAGTACAATCATCCACTCTAGGAATAGGATATGAGTCAGCTTTGGTTACATTACTGTATTTACTTTTCTGTAATCAGTACAAAATCTATATGAAATACCATCAGGTTTAGTCACCAATACACAGAGTGAACTCCAAGGGCTGTTACTTCTTTCAGTCATTTCATTATCAACCATATACTGTACTTCTTGTCTCATTATCTCTCTCATCTTAGGAGTCACTCTATATGGGTGTTGCTTAATGGGTGTTGTATTCTCAGCCTCAACATCATGCCGTAATACCTCAGTTCTCCAAGGAACATCAGAAAACAAAGGCCTAAACTCATGTATAATTTGTATGATTTGATTTCTCTTCTCAGTTCCTAAATGATGAAGTTTCTTTTCTAAATTATTCATCACACCTGAATTATTTAACAGTTATTTTCACATCTCCCCAACTTCATATCTTCACTTTCATCTATCATCTTTTCATCATCAGACCTAACACATAGACAATTCACCTTGTTATTCATATCATTTTCTGTAGAGTTTCTATCATAATATGGTTTTATCATGTTTACATGCAAAGTTGCGTTTATGTGCTTATGTGCATTTTTCTAGGTCCATAGCTTTCACCAGATTCCCAAAGGGGTCCGTGACTCAAAAAAGGTTAAGAACCACTGCACTAGAGGATGTATAGTCAGTTCAAAAGGCCGCAAATCAATTCACTCAGAATAATGTTACCTCCACCAAACACAATACTCTCTCACTGCTATAATATTCTTTAGACTATAATGAACATATTGCACTTTAGTTAACACCACAATTATCCAAGATTGCCTAGAAAATAATAGATAAATGTGCACCACACAAGGTTGACCCTCCAATCCTCAACCTAGCTACAGAGAGAGCCACCAGAACCAAAACAATGTTCCAATGCTTTCTTGTTTCATCAACATATAATTTCTAATTCCTTTTATGCTTCACAACTGCTTCTTACAGTCTTTCTTAACTGTATAAAAAATAAGAATACATTCTACAAAGTTTACATAATGAAACAAATACTAGTATACATACTTATATAAAATAATCAAGAACTTTTTCAAAGTCTTTACCATGGGCTTTGAAATTCGATTCTAAAGAAAAACGGGAAACAACAGAAACTAAATACAATAGGGGGACGACCGTAACATTATGTTATGTTAGGCTAGGTTAGGTTAGGTTAGGTTAGGTTAGGTTAGGTTAGGTTAGGTTAGGTTAGGTTAGGTTAGGTTAGGTTAGGTTAGGTTAGGTTAGGTTAGGTTAGTGTCCCAGTGATAATTAGTTAACATTGTCTTAGTTTAGATACTTATCTTTTGTGTAATTCTTTTGGTTTGCTAGATGTATTACCTACGCTCACTATATATATTTAATAGGTTGTTACCTACGCTCACTGTATATATTCATTAGGTTTAGTGAAATAAAGATAAAGAGTAATAGTTTTGGATATTATTGACTATACATTGATATGTATAATATGTATTAAAGTAAGGTATATCATAGGAGTGAAAGGAAGATATTGTTTGTTATTGTAATGAAATGTTAATGGTGGTGTTTACTTTCTTATGTGAAGTTCATTTTGGTACATTTTAAGTGGCTATTTGAGAACGACTAGTTTTAGTAAGAAAAGTCCTGTTATTTATAAAAAATAAAAATAAACATTATTTTATTTTATTTTTTACATTTTTTATTTTTTTTTATTTTTTTTTCTATTTATTTATTTTTTTTTCTTTTATTTTTTTTTTTGCCTCACTCGGCCTCTTCTTCGTTTGGGACGGCTCTTGGGTATTTATTTAAGGCCGCTATCCCCCCAAACGTGCTTATAAGCATTTGGGTATTATTTGTTGTGTTGGGTATCGCCATTAACTCAGTCCCCTCGTGACAGTTTTCTGTAAAATAGGCGAGTTCAGGGGACTCATCCCATAGCACGACAACTTTGACGGCACCATCCTCCATGGCCGCTCGAACTTCATCACCAAAGCAGACCATGTCCGGTTCATCGACCCTGAGTTTTTCAAATATGGAACTGAGGACAGTGTTAGACTTTTCCAAAAGCATGTGCTGGCGGAGGTCCCGTGTGCCATTGATGGCCTCCCTCAGACCTTGACGGCCGGAGTATGAGGTGTTTATTACAGATCTTACAGCACTCTTCAAGAGCTGAGGGAGACGCTCAACCAATTGGTCCTTCAGCTGACCAGGACCCCCTACCACCAGGGCCTGAACCTGCACGGTCGCCTTATTTTCATTCAGAAAATAATCTTCGCTGAGAGCAATTACTTTCTTCACCAGCAATTGTCTCTTTTCCAGGCGGATGCGCTGGAACCTGGGAGCGGACTGGCCACCTCTGCCGTGCTTTTTTGGAATATCCACGTTCTCATGGTGGTGGACTTTTAGTCCATTTTCAGAGAGCGTTCCAAGGGCAACCGCTGACCCATCGATGACGATGTAGCCAACGCCTCCCTCTTGGGAGATGAGTAATTGGTGCAGTGAGTGCGTGGAGAATGTCTTGCTGACATCGTATTTAAATTCTTGAACTGGTTGAGGAGGTGTTAACGTCCGGCGAAGGCGACTCACCTCGCCGGTTGCTTTGTTGAGAACTGATTGGCCGTAAAACACTAAAAGCCCATGGGGTGGCATGGCATTGACTGTGGATAGCATATCCACAGCGCTCTTCAGTGCTTCTTGCACTGAAGAGCGGTTGGAAACGGACTTTATGTTGGCCGCGCGGCTTTGTTCATCCTCGATTCTATTTTTGACGAGTATCAGGGAGGAAGATGATGGGAGGTGAAGGCTTAATACAGACGAAGTCCGGAGAGCCTCCAGATTCTCCAACTCCTTGAGAGCTTCTCTGAATTGGACAAGTTGAACCCGATCCATTTTGAAAGTAATAATAATATTAATATCTGGTTCGTCTGGTGACCTAAACTTGAAATTTAGGGAGAGATTACAAAATATAAAAAAGTGAGGTTGGAATTTTGTTCCTCAGCTTCATACTGAACATGTTATAGTATAGTAGTAGCAGTAGAAGTTGAGATGCTGTAGTAATATAGTGAACATATTGTAGTAGCAGTAGAAATGCTGTAGCAAGATAGTAAAGACATTATAGTAATAGTAAAGACATTGTAGTAGTAGTAGTAGTTAAGATGCTGTAGTAATATAGTAAAGACATTGTAGTGGTAGTAGTAGTTAAGATGTTGTAGTAGTAGTAGTTAAGATGCTGTAGTAATATAGTAAAGATATTGTAGTGGTAGTAGTAGTTAAGATGTTGCAGTAGTAGTAGTTAAGATGCTGTAGTAATATAGTAAAGATATTGTAGTGGTAGTAGTAGTTAAGATGTTGTAGTAGTAGTAGTTAAGATGTTGTAGTAGTAGTAGTTAAGATGCTGTAGTAATATAGTAAAGATATTGTAGTGGTAGTAGTAGTTAAGATGCTGTAGTAGTAGTAGTTAAGATGTTGTAGTAGTTAAGATGCTATAGTAATATAGTAAAGATGTTGTAGTAGTAGTAAAGATGTTGTAGTAGTAGTAGTTAAGATGCTGTAGTAATATAGTAAAGATATTGTAGTGGTAGTAGTAGTTAAGATGCTGTAGTAGTAGTAGTTAAGATGTTGTAGTAGTAGTAGTTAAGATGTTGTAGTAATATAGTAAAGATATTGTAGTGGTAGTAGTAGTTAAGATGCTGTAGTAGTAGTAGTTAAGATGTTGTAGTAGTAGTAGTTAAGATGTTGTAGTAGTTAAGATGCTATAGTAATATAGTAAAGATGTTGTAGTAGTAGTAGTTAAGATGCTGTAGTATTAGTAGTTAAGATGCTATAGTAATATAGTAAAGACGTTGTAGTAGTAGTAGTTAAGATGCTGTAGTAATATAGTAAAGACATTGTAGTAGTAGTAGTTAAGATGTTGTAGTAGTAGTAGTTAAGATGTTGTAGTAATATAGTAACGACATTGTAGTAGTAGTAGTTAAGATGTTGTAGTAGTAGTAGTTAAGATGCTGTAGTAATATAGTAAAGACATTGTAGTAGTAGTAGTTAAGATGTTGTAGTAGTAGTAGTTAAGATGCTGTAGTAATATAGTAAAGACATTGTAGTAGTAGTAGTTAAGATGTTGTAGTAGTAGTAGTTAAGATGCTATAGTAATATAGTAAAGACATTGTAGTAGTAGTAGTTAAGATGTTGTAGTAGTAGTAGTTAAGATGCTATAGTAATATAGTAAAGACGTTGTAGTAGTATTAGTAGTAGTTAAAGATGTTGTAGTAGTTAAAAGATGCTATAGTAATATAGTAAAAATATTTGTAGTAGTAGTAGTAGTAGTTAAGATGCCGTAGTAATATAGTAAAGATGTTGTAGTAGTAGTAGTTAAGATGCTGTAGTAGTAGTAGTTAAGATGCTGTAGTAGTAGTAGTTAAGATGCTATAGTAATATAGTAAAGATGTCGTAGTAGTAGTAGTTAAAATGCTGTAGTAATATAGTAAAGACATTGTAGTAGTAGTAGTTAAGATGTTGTAGTAGTAGTAGTAGTTAAGATGCTGTAGTAATATAGTAAAGACATTGTAGTAGTAGTAGTTAAGATGTTGTAGTAGTAGTAGTTAAGATGCTATAGTAATATAGTAAAGACGTTGTAGTAGTTAAGATGCTGTAGTAATATAGTAAAGATGTTGTAGTAGTAGTAGTTAAGATGCTGTAGTAGTAGTAGTTAAGATGCTGTAGTAGTAGTAGTTAAGATGCTGTAGTA